TTTAAAAGATGAGCTCTTGGCTTGTCTGAAAAGAAACTCAAACACGTTCGCGTGCACCGCAGAAGACATGCCAGGAATCGACATAAACATCACTTGTCACAAACTTAATGTTGACCCTACGTCCAAACCCGTCAAACAAAAGAGACAGAAGCTGGGGCCAGAACGCGCCGAAGCAGTCAACAATGAGGTCGACAGACTCCTCAAGGTCGGATCCATAACAGAAGTTATAAATCCCAACTGGCTCGCGAATCCCGTCGTTGTCAAGAAAAATAACGGAACGTGGCGATTCTGCGTCGATTTCACTGACCTTAATAAAGCGTGTCCTAAAGATAGCTACCTGCTGCCGCACATCGACCGCTTGGTTGAAGAAATGACAGGAAACAAACTCTTATCTTTTATGGACGCGTTTTCCAGGTACAATCAGATCATGATGAATCCTGACGATCGAGAGAAAACCGCATTCATAGCCGATCACGGAACTTACTGTTATAAAATAATGGCGTTCGACCTTAAGAATTCCGGCGCGACTTATCGAAGACTCGTGAATCGCATGTTCTCCAAACAACTCGGAAAAACGATGGAAGTATAAATCGACACTATGCTCGTGAAATTGCTCGAAGAGCAAGATCATATCGCGCACCTCCAAGAATGTTTCGAGAGGCTCAATTTGCACAACATGAAGCTGAATCTCGCGAAGTTCCGGTTTGCTGTCGTATCCGGAGAATTCTTGGGGTACCACGTTACCTACTGAGGAATTGAGGCCAAACCGAAACAAATCACAGCACTAATAGAAATGGTGTCCCCTAGGACGAAGCGCAAAGTACAAAGACTGACCGGTAGAGTTGCGGCACTTAACCGCTTCATCTCGCGATCAACGGATAAATGTCTTCCTTTCTACGATACTTTGAAGGGAAACAAGAAGTTCGAGTGGTCCGAGGAATGGGAGAAAGTTTTCCAACAGCTAAAGCATTACCTAGCTACTCCGCCAGTACTCGCGAAACAAGTACAAGGGAACCACTATTCATCTACATCGCGGTGTCAATAAAGGCCATAATCGGCGCCCTCATCCAGGAAGAATGCGGCGAGCAAAAACAAATTTTTTACGTAAGTAAAACTTTGCTAGACGCAGAAACGCGATACCCGATGATGGAAAAAGTTGCATTAGCAGTTCTAATGTCAGCGAGAAAACTAAGGCCGTACTTCCAATCTCACACCATTGTCGTACACACTTCTTTCCCTATTTGCACAATTTTGCATAGCCCAAGCCAGTCGGGAAGGTTGGCAAAATGGGTGATCGCGCTAAACGAGTATGACATCAAATAACGTGCAAAGACCTATGCAAAATCGCAAGTATTTGCATACTTCTTAGAGGAGGCACACCCGACCAGGAGCCGAACTCGACCTGGACCATATACGTTGACGGATCCTCGTCCAAACAAGGCTCCAGAATCGGCATCCGGCTGGCGGCCCCAAGGGGAGAAGTGCTGGAACAATCTTTTTGATTTGTTTTCCATGACTTGATCAATGAAGCCGAATGAAAAACCTTAACCGCAGGATTACGACTGATCACGGTCTAAAGATACGAAACCTCCACGTCTACTGCGACTCTCAGTTAGTGGCCAGCCAGTTCAGCGTGGAATACGAAGCAATGGATGAAAGAATGGAAGCATATCTGACTCTTGTCCAGGATCTAGCTCGAAACTTCGATCAATTCACCCTCACTCGAATTCCTCGGTCGGAAAACGCTCAAGCAGACGCTCTGGCTGCCTTGGCATCTAGTTCCGATCCAGGCTTAAGCAGGTTAATCCCCGTGGAGTTCAATGAACATCCTAGTATCAGACCGCCAACGAACCGGAAGAAGACATCGACGAAAACGATGATCGCCCAGCCACAGATCAGTCAAGCTATGGGTTCAGTCGTCTGTGGATGGAAACGTTCCTCGCGTACATATCCAACGGGGAACTCCCATTGGAAAAATGGGTGGCCCGAAAAATAAAGACTCAAGCCGCACGATATGTTCTAGTTGACGGAGAACTCTATAAGTGGAGATTCTCCGGACCACTCATGACCTGCGTGCAGGGAGAAAAGGCGCAGCGAATAATGGAAGAAGTGCACTCCGGATCCAGCGGAAACCATTCCGGTGGAAGGTCTCTCGCAATAAATATCAAGCGTAACGGATATTTCTGGCCGACAATGGTCAAAGACTACAAGGATTATTCACGAAAATGCGAGAAATGCCAAACACACACCCCGACTATCCTTCGATAAAAAGGGGGGGGGCAGGGGTAGGTGGGTATACGTATACTCGTATACTCCCAAAATTTCAAACTCAAAATTTCTCAAAAAAATTTCAACGGCGCGGCTAAAAGAAAAACGGAATTCTGAATATAGCTAAACGTCGCCAATATTTAGAAAACCGTCTTTCTTAAAAAAAAAAAAATACAACAACAAACACAGTCCACCCAGGACTATAAAACGTACAAAACCTCTTAAGATATGAATCCTTCGCGAAGGTCCCGGTAACATCTACCACCTAAGTTTATTACTGATCACAACAAACTCGCAACAGTTCTAAACAAACTTACGTTATCTCACAAGATAGCTCTCATACACCCGACACAAGGGTAATAGTGCTATAAAGAAATCCAAATTTTGGTTAGCACCTACGGGGATGCTCGATTCCGACTAGATAAGTCGTGTAAGTCGAGAACCTATCGCGGACTTTAAATCGGTACGGAATCAGGTTAAAATAAACAAACATCGATTAGTCATCGCAAAGCCTTAAAACTGAAAGGAAACCTAGGTCTTACCCTAAACCTAGCACACTGGTCTCTAACGTCTCAAGGCATGAATTGAGATCCTAAAGGCATGTCTCTTCGTCTGCATCTGTACGCTCATTCGATTCTTAAGAATCCTAAAACGAGCAAACGAATAAGGCGATCTACAAAAGAGTTGGAATGCAAGAAGACAACTCGCGGACCTCCCTCTACATTCACACGAAAGCATTTTTTTTCTCGAAACAAAAGAAAACGTAAACTGTGGGAACCAAAATTCACACTGTCGATTTCCGTAAAATAAGGAAACTTAGGAAAACCCTAATTTTCCAGAGGACCCGGATCTCTGCGAGAGTCAACGACAAGTAACCAAATAAATTTGGAAAATATGAAAAACATTGTAAAACGAATTTATAAAGAAAGTAGATCTTATTTCGAATTTATAAAGAAAGTAGATCTTATTTCGAATTTCCGTAAGAACGTTGCGATTATTTACAAGAGATTACAAAGAATTTGGCCACAGGGTGTGGGAACCGAAATTCACCTACTGTCAATGAATCGTAAATAAGGAAACTTTGAGTAAACCCTAAGTTTCCAGAGGACCCGGTTATCTGCGGAACCGCACAATGATAATTAAGAATACGATGAACTTAAAATTAAAGTAAGAATTAACGAGATGAAGAGCAAGAAAGATCTTATTCCGAATCTGCGTAAGAACGGTTACTACGAGAGTGGCCTTAGCTGCGTGAGCCGTCGGCGAAATCCCTAACTCTAGAAGTCTAAGACCGAAAACCCTAGTTGAGACGCAGCTCGATATCAAAAACGGAAAAGTTCCTAAATGCTAAATTTGGTGGTGAAAGCTCTGAAAAACGTGTCCCTTGCTTCTGCCCCAGGCCTCTTGCTTATATACTCCCTTCCTAGGCGGTTTAGTCTTTCCATTTTGCCCGGATTCGAGTTTATCGGGAATCTTCCATTTATCACAATCCTTCCTTTTTTTCCCGCGCAAATCTTTTATTTATCTTCAAACTTGCCATTTATCTCCAAACTTGATATTTATCTCCCTTCTGCGAGTAAATCGTCCAAATGTTATCGTATCTTCGGGTTAGATTTCGTTAAGATTGTGAGATGGACTTTTATCACGTTTTAGGACCTTCCGGGCCATTTTGCGATCAATCCGTTTTGCGACTTTGTACGAGATCGTTTCCTGATCCGATGCCGTTTTTATTAAAATTCCCCGAGTTAATCGTAAAGTTTAGCTACGTTCGTTTCTCGGTTAATCGTTGCCATTTTTTACGATTCACTTGACGCTTATATTCAAAACGCATTTGTTACGATTTTTACGAAAAATCTCGAATAAATCGTATAGTTTAGGAAATTTTCGGTGTTTTGTTTAACCGTTGCCGTTTTCTACGATTTCCTTGAGTTCTTTTCGAGAAAACAAAGTTTTACAGTTTTTATCGTAGAACTCGAACGATAGGACGGATCGAGACGAAACGAGAGACATTTCGACCGTGGTTCGGAACATGATCGTGTCGAAGGACGTAAGCCTTGAATCGGGGATGTAGGAGATCGAGGCTTGGGATGGTCGGTTTGACGTATGGCGAGCCGAACCGGACCGGTTCAGCTCGCCGTTTGACGAGCAAACGGCGAGCTGCCCGGGAAGCTTCCAGCTCGCCGTTGGGCGAGCTAGTCGTGTCGGGACTAGCTCGCGTTTTACGGCGGTTTTGGTTTTTTGCGGTTTTGTGCTTAACTTGGACGATCGTGTAATCGACGTTTGTTTTGTTTTTCCGAGATAATGATCTTCCGACTTTTCCGCGGATTTCCTTTGTATGGAAATCTCTTTTGGATTTATAAAATAATTTCCGGAGTTTTATAAAACGATTTCTCGAGTTTTATAAAACGATTTCTCGAGTTTTATAAAACGATTTCTCGAGTTTTATTAAACGATTTCTCAAGTTTTATAAAACGGTTTCTCGAGTTTCATAAAACATATTTTTATCTTTTTACGGGAAGTTTTGGCTATTGATTTCGTCGTACCGATTTTGACCCAAACACAGGGGCAGTCAGCGAGTTACCTAGTTCTAGCAACATAAAACCCTAAACTTAATTAAGTTCCAACTCGATAACAAAAGTCGAAAAAGATTAAAAAAAAAATTAGAATTAGATTATTATTAATGATAATAACAATAATAATGATAGTAGATCATAATATTTATAATTCACAGATAAGATTTGAAATTGCCATTTAAAATAATTATCGTGAACATGATATATAAAAAGTAATTATCAACAATATAATAAAAGGAATGCTTCATATCATGTAATACGGAAAAAAATTGAAAATGGTAGTACCCATAATCATACGATTTTGCACTACATAATGATTCTGCACTACATGATGGTAGGAGAGGGGAGGGGGGGGGAGTTCCCTTCAAGACGGCACAACTTGAGGAGGATCTTCAACACAAAACCCAATAAACAACGACAGTAATCAAGAAGGGGCTCTCCTCAAATTTACAGCAGATACATCGCTCGTTGTTGCTAAAAGTTCTTGATTTTGATCTATGCAGCAGCTGATTCAATCTTATCCACAACTTCTAACCGCGTTTTCCTCTTCCAGCCTTTCATGGTGGCTACTAAAGTCACAAGTCCTACGACCTGTCCTTTTGTATATTCCTGTATATTTGTAATTAGTTGTTTACATTTTCATCAAGTTTTCTATCGATTGAAAAGGAAAAGAAAGATATGTTTGCTTACCGGATGAGCCCTTGCCCAGTGGACATATTCAGTCTCTGGTAGATAGTATGCCTGAAAAAATGAGTGATAATTTCGGTTTAAAATGTGCCTCACTAGCACATTAGTCTGCACTTCCATGTGAATTACTGTTTTGCTTACCTTGATAAATGTGTCCACTATCTGTAACTTGGGTTTCACATTTGTTGGCACAAAGTGTTGTAGCCCGTTTATTAGAACCTACAAAGTGATAGATAATCAACCAGAATATATCCCTAAGTGTTGTAGCCCGTTTATTAGAACCTACAAAGTGATAGATAATCAACCAGAATATATCCCTATGCATAATAACTGTGTGAAGCAAATTTATCAATTGTTTGTGTTTTACTATTATCTCATCAGCAAAGAGTAAATGTTTGTCCTATCATGGCCATCTTTCGAGATGCGTTGTTTATTTGATATTCTATATCAGTATTAGAATGACTGTAAAAGTAACTAATAATTCCATTCCTTCGTGTACACAATTCTTGCTGTCGAGTAGAAGAAACTACCTGAATATCTAATGACATGAGAGCACGTCCTTCATCGGTGCATCTTTTTATTCTAGATAGACCTTCCACCAGCGTCTCCGCAAATATTTCAACTCCATATTCCAGTAGGAGGTTTTGGACCTATAAATGAAAAGAGTTTCAAAGTTTGAGAAGAAAATGTAATCAACTCCTAAAATTGATGAGGTCAGAGTCATTTACCTCCTGTGAAATGCCTCCGTGAGCAAGCCTTGTTTTGTAGTGTTTGAATTCCCCAAGCATCAAATCAACATACCTGTTTGTTCAAATAGTTTACTACATATAAGATGGCAGCGAAACCATCAATGGTCTGATAGGCCAAAGTAAAATGGTGAGAGTCTAGAACTAAAGCATCAAGATCATGTACTGAATATTTAGTATCTTAACTCAGCAAATAATTAGGCAGCTTGCTACAACAATACGAGCATTTTACAAGAATACCATTGTAAAATTATGAACATCTATATAGTTAAGTATTTTCTATTGAAGTATAGATCCAAATTTGGAAGAGCAAATGAGAGTAACAGAATGAAGTAACAAACCCATTATGCTCCACTCCAAGCTCCTTGACTTCCCATTTAGAATTAGCAATTCGGTCGACGTATCTGAAAAATCAGTTAACGGTCAATGGACATACATACCCCCAACGAAAACAAACAAGATAAAAACCATTTCATTGAACAAATAGCTTTATAACAGTTTTAAAAATCCAGAGGTCAGTAAGAATTAGAACAGGAGGCACAAAAGGGAGGACACCTCGCAGATTGATGCAATCCATCTAATAACTTTCTTAAGTAGATTGGCAATTTACCCATTAACATGCAGCAGGATCCTCGCAGTTGTCCTGTGTAGGTGCTCTGTCAGATCAGGTACGGAACCAACCTGATGAATAATTCCACTTAATGCAACTCTTTCAAATATATTTGATATCACACATTTGTATACAAACAGTTCTTGACTAATATATATTTGACAAATTAATATAACAAAGGAATACAATGAAACTACTTATGATCATCCTGATTATCCTACATAATCCATTACTATTAAAGAGGCACGAGACTATTGAATTCTACAGAGGTGTATCTATAATCTACATCAGGCAACAATTCCGACAAAGCCAAAGTTTATAAGGAATCAAAACTGAAAGCGTCACATACCAGTTGACCAAAGAAGTCTTCAACCAAAGAGCCATTTCTTGACATAAGCATCGATTGAAGATGAGCCTTTGATTTATGCAATATTCGGGCCACAAGAGAAACAGTGTCCACTGCAGCACATCTTTCCTGCAAGCAATGGTCCTGTGTTAGAGAAACCTTTTTATTATACAACCTTGAAATGAAATGAATGAGGCGGCTGCTTTTCTCTTCTCACCTTTCATACATGAAATACGTGAAAATTAATGTTTAGGAATAGTTATCTTAGGTTTGCTACTCGACAAAACCGTAGCCCCACGTCATACCTTTAGACTAAAAGTTATGCCTGATACGTGACCAGATGTAGTATTTAAGGGACTTGCGGGAGTCACGTCCGCAAGACTATGAACTGTGTTGGGAAAGGCAAGTGAAGAAGATGGTGATGATGAAAACTGAGGTTTTATCCATTGCTCACACTCTTGAGATATCCGGGATAAGCAGTTTTTCAAACGATCTGCATTTCAAAAATTAGAAATATATATTCTGTTGTGCCAAATTGTTTTATTGTATCCTTAAAAGCTATAACATTACAAACAAAGAGGAGCATCAAAAGGAAACGAATCAGTTACTCACGACTGGAAGAGTTGGCAACTCCTTTTCCACCTGAATTTGTATTTTCTTGACCAAAAGCTTGATACACAAAATAGAAAAAGACCCCGAACAATTGGCATATTCCCTACATAATTCAAAACAAACTTCAGAAACGAAAAAGAAAAATACAGTAGAGAAGACTGCAGACTTCCTATAATATGGATTGGTACCTTAAAGAACTCGACATTAACAAGTTCTAGTTTCTGCATAAGTCTTGCGTACTTATCCATTGATCTAAGACAGAACAAAGTTCATAATATGTTAGGGGAAGGCTATCGTTCTAACTTCAAGCATTTGCAAAACCGCATATTACCTTAGAAGGCAAAGTGACGATCCTGTTTGAGCTTTCAAATCATCATTAGTACTCAAATGTGAAGAAGAACTCCTTGATATACTACGTGCAAAACTTCGTCTTGGAAGCTGACTATCCTCATCAATATAGTCAGCATGAAGGTCTTCATTTTCATCTCCTGATCCTGAAACAGGACTACCTCCATTAATGCCTTTTTTATCTCTTACCTTGGAATTCACAACGTCAGTGGAGTAGTCTTGATCTTCAGAGGCAGCTCCATTATCTGAGGAGTAGTCTTGATCTTCTCTATAGTAAGTTAACTTTGCTGAGAAAGGGTTTCCACTTTTCAGCCAATATGAGAATCCACTCCTGTTCCCACTCGGATCAGTTGAGTCATTAGAGTGAGAGAATCTGGAAGAACCAGAGGCATTTCGGGAAGATATAATAAGGGGAGCCCCATCTCCCACAAGACCAGCAAAATTGATAGCTTGCACAATATCAGGTGACAATCTCGTCCATGTCTCCTTCTCCAGGACCATTTTAAGTGCCTGTTAGGGAGAAAAACGCAAACAAAAATTATCATGTAAGGAGAGATGTATGCTTTGCCAGTCCAGTAGAAATCGTGAAACTGAACTTACATGCATGCTTTGCTTGTGAAACGCAGTGAAATAATTTTCGCACACACCCTTTAGCTTCTCCCTAAAATCAACAACTTCAAAGCCACAGAACGCTTCCCCAGCAAGGATAAAGACGCTCAGATCTTCATAGTTTTTAAGGAATTGATGTATACTTGTTGAAGAAGCAGCTGGGGATGAGAGCAAAACAGACACACGGCTTGTTGTAAGTTGCCAAAGATTTCTGCGTCCTCTCTGCAGAGTTTCTGAAACAAAACCAGCACTCTCTTTTCGTAGATAGTACCATGGTGACTCGCTGTTACTTACTGTATCTCCAGAATCCTTAGACTCGTCTATTTCACTATTAGACGCTTCCTGCCCGGAACTGAAGGTTTCACTTCCAACAGACTCTTCAGCAGAAATGGTACAAGAAGGTATGCTTGTTGTACTCAAGGCTGAAGAGAGACCACTATCCTGTGGGTCGCATGAATCAATCTTTTGCGTTGTTGCAGAACTTGTTGAGATCAAATTTTCTACCTGTTCCAGTTCAGAAGCTAAGCTCTTTACAGTGTATTAAACGAAACTGCTCCTAAGGTAACTAATCGAATTTGATTCTGATGACATAAAGTAAAGAACCTAAAGGAAGTTGCCAATGCATAAGATACCGAGAAAATAAGCCATCAAAGAGTAGATTTATCCTTCAAGCAAAGGGCATAAAGTATAAGTATATCTTACTAAAATCAAAGAACTTATGGAAATTCTTGGACAACCACTTACTTGACATGGAGTACTCAAAAGAGATTAAACAAGTAATGCCAACTAAGAATTCAAGTAATACATACATGATTAAATATACCTTCTGAGATCAAATACGTATCAACAAACAAGTAAGAGTTCTACATGCCACAAATCTAAAACAGACGCACATGTATGCTAGACTCTTTAATTACAGATTTTTTTGCTCACTCTTAGGTTAAAAGATCTAGACAGAGGAGTTTAAGACTATGAAATCTGACACCCATTACTGTAACTAGCACTGAAACTAGAACCAGAAGCTGTTTCAAGAACCCTATAAATAGTTAGAAAATGTTCGATACAAACTCAAGTAGGGAAGGGAACCTACCTTCTTTTCTGGGGTGAAACTCATTATCTGATGGTACGAATATATTAAATGAAATAGCACAGCTAGTGTTCTCAAGAGACATTGCCTAAACTTGGATTCTGGTGTCTGAATACATAGATCGCTGTATGTAAGTCTGAAAAGAATTTAAGTAAATCAGAAAGAATACTAGAATCCAAACAAAAAGGAACCAGAAGTGAGCGTTAGATACTGTAATAGGTGCCAGTAATAACTCAGGTACATAGAACATACCTACTATATTGGGTGGCAACACCGTTATCCTACAAAAAAAATAATCACAAGATCAACAATTTGATTGGTTTATTATGTAGACCTTTAGAAAACTTGTTTAGCTGCTTAGGATAAAGTAAAAAAGAAAAAGTAGTGCCGCAACTGGCAAAGATTGCATGCAGAACGAAATGAATATAGATAAGATCGTATAAAATGATTTGTAACCATCTTTACATTTTCAAAATATAAGTTCAGAAAGCCACACTTGCTAAGCATTCAGTACATCTATCTATTGTATCTGCTAGGATGAAAAGAGACATCTAAGCAACAAGGAAAAATGCCTGCGCTATGCACCAGATAGCTCAATACATCCAAGTATCCAAGTATGCACTAGCTCAACATCAATTCTATAGGAGCAACAATTTAATAATTAGCTCACATACCTCCCCAACGACGGTCTTTAGGACTGAGTGGGTTTCTGATATAACTTCTTGCATAAAGAAGCTTTGTATCTTCTCAGCGAGACCAGAGACATCACCGATCAGTGCATAAGCATCAAGAACCTAAAAGTAAGAGCACATAAATTAACTATTGCCACTGAAGCAATTTCTAGTTCTCCAACCAAATTGGAGGTCGACAAAATTTAATCCTTAGTTTAAATCTTGAAGGACATAGCTTAGTATGAGAATGACTTGGATTACTAACCATTAAATAACTATCTTCTTTGAACTCCTGGCAAACCCCCATCAAAAGTGAATCAAGCTTATGAAGAGTTCTTCCTAACCAAACCTTGAAAAGAATATGAGAAGCTCAACCAACTGACAATAGAAAATAATGAAGAAAACGGTTGGTCATGAATAAGCCATACTACCTCAACTCCACGGGTCATCTCTTGAATTGCTGAAAACTCAGATAGACTATCAAGAAGCTGCAAGTACTCAGATAGAACTTGAAATGCCTACATAATAAAGAATACATGTCCTGGTCTTTTGATAGTTTCATAGCATAATATCACCATAAAAACTTATGCGAAAAAAATAAACAGAAGAATATACCTTGCAATAGTTTCCTTCTTCAACAAGGTCTTCAAGACTTGACTGAATTAGTCTTGCATGGCGAAGATCAGTTAATATAGGAAGCATATCCTGTAAATGGAGTAAACTGTTTAAACGCTCGAGCAGTATTGATTACAAGGTCTTTAGAGAAGCAAAAAGGCATGTTTTAAGTATTTCAATAATCTAAATGACTGGAAAAAATATATAAGCCTACCAGAAGAGCTTGTTTCTTTTTGGAATGAGTGTGTACAATAAGATCTCTTGAAGCCTCGTTCATAGATGAAGTCAAATTCCTTCTTCCATTCTGGCAGTAACAAACAAGAAATCGTCCATGAGCAATGTCAAATTTTAGCTTTCCTATATTTAGGATGAGAACATGAATTCCTAACCTTGCAGATGACATTCGCAATCTTCAAATCTTTTTCCAATTCTCTAACCAAATTCATCCCCTTCACTGGCCAAAAGTGAATATTAGTGTTCAAAAATCGGAACAGACATATGCTTTCTTAAAAGGAAAAAGACAAGTCATTTCAATCTCAAGGTACTTACCCATTACTTCATGATGCTCCATAACATGATGAGACAGGCTTTCTGCCACTCTATCCAGCTGTACTAACCTCAGGGTGGCCTATACAACAGACAATATTGGTAAACGAAGAAACAGAAGAAACTTAAAAGTAGAAGTTTGGTACCTGCTTCTCAAAATAAGCAAGCTCACTCTGATCATCTGGCACATTCTCCAAAATATGTCTCACTGGATCAAAATCCTACATGAGAACACAAAAATGAAATTATGACACTCTGAATATCACAAACACCCAGAGATAGACAGAAACCTCTTCATAGAAGCCTTCTTCAAGCTCTTCAACTTCTTGAGGAGGAGGTCTGTTTCCATATATTGAGCTAAGCTCAGTGGCAGTAGAAGATATACTCAACCTCTGATCAGAAGGAAGCCCAGCCAAAGCACGAGCAACAGCAGCTGCAGCAGCAGCACGTGCCGGAATCTACACAACCGGATGAAGACAGGATATTACATTGATAGGAATCAAGAGAGAGAGAGAGAGAGAGAGAGAGAGAGAGAGAGAGAGAGTATACCTCAGGACGATCAGAGGAAGAGGAGGAAGAAGAAGAGGGTAAGAGTCCAAGGGATGTAGCGGACTTAACAGAGCTAAGAAACTTTTCGCCAACCTTAGACAAATCCATGCCTTCACCTTGGGACAACAAGAGAGGAAGTAAAAAGAAAACCCTAGAGCTCTCGAACCCACCAGCACCAACCTCGTTTAGATCTCCGCCATTGAAGAGGAACGGATTACCCAAAACAGAGCCGAAGGGGAAGAGATTAGGCTGCATCTCATTTCAGATCATAGTAGTAGAGATTGTAGATCAGAAAGTTATCTCAGAATCGGAAAATGGATCGAGGATCTCCCGCGGAAATAAAAGAAAGGACGAGATCTAGAGATCAGGTTCGTGTCCGTTTTCTGGCAAGGAGCTTGACTTTGTGTTAGTTTACAGCGCTCAAGGCTCTGTTTGGATTTTGTCCAACAAAATTATGGTTAGTGCCACTTTTTCTTTTGCCGACTGGCCAATCAATATTCAAGTCCAAATCTAATTTTTACTATGTTTGCGATATTTATCACTGATTATTTTTGTCCTTTTCCGTTAGATGATTTTTAATTAACATAATTTCCCAATATAAAGTAGTTAACATATTTTTTACTGTATTAGAATATCTTCAAAAATATTTTATATTAGGTGATTTTCCGTGCTCATGCACGGGTATAAATATTTATCAAGTAAATATATTGTAATATATTCTAATTTATTAATTTACATAGATATTTACTTTTAATTATAAATTAATTTATAATTTATATGTATAACTTATATTAATAATATTAGATTATTTTAATTAGACATATGATTTAGTAGATGTTATATTTAATCGGTTAGGTTGCTTTTTTGGTCAATATTCGATTTGGTNTACTTTTAATTATAAATTAATTTATAATTTATATGTATAACTTATATTAATAATATTAGATTATTTTAATTAGACATATGATTTAGTAGATGTTATATTTAATCGGTTAGGTTGCTTTTTTGGTCAATATTCGATTTGGTTACACTTGTGTATTTTAGATTGCATCTATTTTTCTGAATTCAACTATAATATTTTCCTTTTAAATATGCTAAAACTTTAATTATTATTGTATTTAGATTGGCTATCGTCTTATATATGTAAATATATTTTAATAAGATTATGTATAACTTAATATATATTATGCTTATAATGAAATTTAAAATAAACTGAAATTTTGACACAAAATTATATAAATGAATATAACGATAATATTCTGAAGTCTCATTCATATATATATATATAAATTTTACAAAAAAACTGAATTATAACAGTTGGTTAATATTTTTTTTTCTATATTGATATTTTTGAGTCATCCTATAATCTATATGTATAAAAATAAATAAATAATTATTCTAAAATTATATGTTTTTGTTGTAGTTAGATGTTTTATTTTTGATATAAGTTAGATTCGTTCCATTACTCGTTTTGTGAGTATATTGAGTTATATATATTTTTCTAATTAAATCAAATCAAATTAGTTTTATTTACCGCTTAATGCAAGTATTTTATAAGATTTTTAATAATTGGACATATGTTGATTTTTAAGATATATTAAAAAATAAAGTGACGATCAATAAGAATTTACAATCATAAATATGAGTATAAAGATAAACATTTGAAATTTCATGAGAACATATTAATATTTAAAATAATTAAATATTTATAAATTCTAAATTATTTTATACCTTAGATTTCTTAAAAGGTAAATTGAATTTTTTTAAACAATCTTAAAAATGAGAACTTAGATTTACTTGAGTATTTTGATTATTTATCTATTAAGTTCCATAAACATAAAAAACATAAAATTAAAAAGCAAACTATATATTAAAAAGAATTTTTAATAATGATAAAATATTATATTTTCATTTCATTAATAGTGTATAGTGCTACGCTATTTAAAAAAATTTGAAATTATTTGATCAAAATATTTATGTGTTAAAAAAAATTATTTTATTTTTTAATATCTCTTAAATAAACACTAAAAATGTTGTTTTATGAAAATATCGAAAAAAATATTTAATTTCGTTTATATATAAACATTTTTATTTCAGAAATATTTCTTTTTTTGTATATGTGTGTTTAAAAAGTAAACATAAATTAAAAAATTAAGTAAAATCTTATTATGAGAAAAGTAAATACATTATTAATATCTTATTTAATATATTTGTTTATTAAGAGTATCTATGTAATTAACCATCGTGAGAGTTAACGTGAGCGCGACACGTAGGAAACTGACTTCTCAAATAATATTATAGAGATACATTTAAATTAAATATTACTATTTTGTGAACTTTCCTTTTTTATTAAACCTAATTATATATACTTATGTTTTCGTTTTTAAATAGTTTTGTAAATTTTATAAATGTTTCCTTTTTATTTTATATTATTATTTGGAATTTCTTAAAAGGAAATAATATTTAATTGTATTTTTAATTCATTAGGGGTATCATAGTAATCAATCAGCGTGAGAGTTAACGTGAGCGCGACACCTAAGAAAGTGACTTCTCAAATAATATTATAGAGATATCAAAAAATAATTAATTAAAATATATATTTTATTGTTCAAATTATTTTAAAGAAAAATATTTCTTTTCTAATATCAAGATTATTTGTATGAACTTTTTTAATGAAAACACATTATATACAAATATTTTTTTCATCTAAGAAGATATAGATATAAAGTAGTTTATTACTTAAAAGTATAATTTATGTTATTTAAAAATATATTTAAGTTAAATATTACTATTTTGTAAACTTTCCTTTTTTATGAAACCATATTATATATATACTTATTTTTCGTTTTAAATAGTTTTGTAAATTTTATAAATACTTCCTTTTTATTTTATATTATTATTTGGAAGATTTTAAAAAAGAAATAATAATATTTAAATATATTTAATTCATTAGGGGTATCATAGTAATCAACCAGCGTGAGAATTAACATGAGCGCGACACCTAAGAATTGACTTCTCAAATAATATTATAGAGATTTTGAAGTGTGCAAAATTGTATATATGAAGTTTAAAGGTATTTTTCTCCAAAATTAACACTTCAAACATCTTCAAAACTATCAAACTATTATTTGAGCACATATAAACTATTAAACGAAAAATACATTTGTACTTAATTCAGATTTTTTTCTAATATTTACAATCTTTGCCACTGACTATTACACTGGCGTTTTAAATTTTTCCTAAATCACACAAAATAAATTCATATCACTTTACTTGGATCTTAACCCAATTATCAGAAATTCACGTTATCAAATGGGATTTCTTTACAAACTATTTTGACCCGTAATATTAATGTATTTATCGGATAATTAATGATGAAATCATATAGTCTAGCCATATAATAAAAATATGAAATTAATAGATTACATGTAACTTGCGGTGGCCAAATTTTTTTTTGTTTTTCTTTTGTCAACCCAATGTTATTCAATATCAACTCAATTTTCATATTCAAGAAATATAAACTATCATTAATTTGTGTAAAAATTTATAATTGATTTTCTATTTATGTGGTCAAAAATATCTGCATAGATACAATATAAAATACATAAATACACTTTTTAATTAATACAATATTCTTAAAGAAAATTATGTTGGCACGATATATTAATAATAATTACATAACCGATCCATTTTTTAAACAATTATGTTTACATGGCATATTAATACATAGTTTCACTTTTTTAGAAAGCATATATAATTACATACCTAATCCAAAACACATCTAAAAAATTTAATTATGATGATAAAAAAATCTAAAAATATTATTATATAACACAATACAATAATGAAATATATGATCTCTCACCGATAAACAAAAGTAGCACAAATGAAACCAGTAAATGATACCTTAGAATTGTTATGTTTTAGAATATTTACCTAATTATTAAAAAATAACATCCGCGTGGACGGGTGAATCAAAGTTTAGTTATAATTTGTTTGGCTTACCAATTCTTAATCGTCACTAACCTTATTCCCAATGGTGAATCACCTAATCTCAATGGTGACATGGTATCAATCACAAAATTTATTGACATGTGATATCACTCAAATTATCCTAAGAAGTGAATTACTCTCTTAAATAAGAGGTTTAGATGTAGTACTTAGAGATCGAATCCACAAAAAATTAAGGAACCAATTAAATTTAATCAGAGTGAATAAGACTAGGTTGGTTTAAGATTTTGAAGTAAATAACAATGTATTAATTCCTAATTGAGTAAGGCAGTTGCTCTACTAAATTAATTAAGTTGTTTGATGGAAAGATGGCTTGCTAGACTTAGAGTTTCTATTCAGGTATCAGAGATTATAATCCTATAGGTTCTACACAGTTGAATGCATGATATTAAAGAGCTTCAACTTTAATAAGAACAAATCTATAAGCTTTCACCTTCTAGATTTGTCTATTAACTAGATCTAATAATCTCACCTCTCGGTTTGATCAGTTAGAAAGTGTGGATCAATTATTCTATATGAATATCTATCGATACACCTTTTGCTCCGTCGATCGATTATTCTATACGAATATTGATCGACGCGCTATAGCCAAGCTTTAGTGAGAGTTGAATATGTGCTCACTAAGGGTTCCAAATCAGCTCTCACCTCCTCTAGTAATCTTAGCTCGATAAGGAATAAATTAGGACGAAGATGAATGATGGTTTATGCCCTAGATCAAGGTTCTAGTTAGCTATTCTAGAACACCAGAATTAAGAACATCTTATCAATGAATATCACAACTAGAAATCCCATACTTGGGGCTAATCCCCTTAACATATTTAAACCTTAAAGCTAACAGGTGAATCTATTCAAGAATGATAGTTGTCACATAAATCATAGAAGAATATATATAAAATATAAAATAAATAAAGAAACCAAAGGAATTACAGGAGGACTCTGAAGGAGTTCTTCCCTTATCTCCTAAATCTAGGAACAAGAATAGAAAGCTTAGGTAATGTCTAGCCGTCAACATTGGCTTAGAAATACATGAATAGGGTTTCTGGTCGTCCATGGGTATTTTGGTAACTCGTGGTGGATTTTGGGCTTTGGTAAGTCTTGAATATAGTCGGCCCGCGTTCTGACATCACGTATCGATCAATGTCAAGGGTTCTGCATCGATCGATATACATTCATCTTCTCGACAGCTTCCTCTCGAGGCAGACTGGCCACTCCTCAGTAAAACGGGCATAACTTCTGCTACAGGATGCTGATTGATCTCGCTCGGTAGAATTGAAAAGCTAACTCAACGCTCTATTTTTTGTCAAAAGATGGGCGCAATCTAACGGTGGGAAGGTCTCCATCCATAGCTAAGCATCTGACGCATGTGTGCAGTATTGCACCTCAAAAAGTTTGAAAATCACTATATTTCTCCAGAACGTACCTGAACCTGTAAATACTCAAAAAAGACTCCAAA